AGCACTGTGGCTTATGAGAAACATAGAAACTTGTAACCTACCTTCAATCTGTAGCTTCAGTTTCTTTCTTTGTTTCTGGACTTGATCAAACCTTTTTGAGGCTCTTTCAGTCAAATCTCTCATTTCTTTTCTCAGAGTTTCTCCTTGACTTCTGTCAACAGAACAGTGTCTGAATCCATTGTTTGTAATCAGGGTCTCAATTTTCTCTAAAAGCTTCTTGACTTGATCTCTATCTTCTCTGTTACTGAGGTTGAGAAAATGTTTTCTGTCTCCACATTGTTGAAGAATCCACTGCAGGACTGGATTTGTTCTTATTATGGACTCAATCTCTTCATCACTACATGGAGCGACTGCAGTGAACAACACGATGGTGTGACTGAAACCATCTGCATTAAAAAGCTCCAAGTGTTGCTTTAGTGATGATTTGACATCCTGAGATAAATGTGAATCAACAGGAATGACCAGCAGAAAGACATGAGGTCCTGGGGGACACAGATGGACACTGTTCTGGATTTCTATCTGATCCAGTTTTGGGGTTTTTTCTCCAGGCCAAAACCACCTCCATCCTGGAGTATCAACCACTGTGACTCGTCTGCTGAACACTTCCTGCTGCCTCGCTTCACTCTGAGCTGTTCTTCTGCTGGTGTTGAAAACATTTTGACCCAGGATGAAGTTTCCAGCTGAACTTTTACCCCTGAGAAGGTCATTATATCTTCCTCCAATCAACACAATCCTCAACTCTGTAGCAGGATGACTTTGTGCTGTAAGGATAAATATTGAGTTAGAACCCAGAATGCACACAATGTTAAATCTACGTTGAATTATAGTCAGAATGATTAATTTTTGGTTGAAGTCAACAACTGATGGTGGACCAACCATCAAACAACCATCCAATTCTAACCATTGAAACTGTGTCATTGAATCAATATTTTGTGGTTGAAATCTAATGACTGAAATGCCGATATCTGATCACCATCTGATCAATGTTGAATCAGTGTCAGCTGTTTTGCCACACACCTTCCCCTCTTCTCCTCTGGAGCTCTGGGTGAAAGCATTTTATTACTGAGTGAGGGTTATCACATTTTTAATGACACTGTAGAGGATAGTGGGTGGTGATTCCTTTCTGTACATTTTCTTACTTGTTCATTCATAAAAAAATCTTACTGAATGTTTGTGTGTGATATGTTGACACACAAATATCTACAACTTACTACAAGGAGTGGAGCGGTCCACCCCCACCATTTACATGAGTGGGATGTCCCAACCACACAGCCACTTTGCTGTTGGCTTGTTGGCAAAAGTTGCTAATAGCCTAGTCAACTAACATTAAGATAAATATGAATGAATATTCATTAGTGTGTCCTTATTAATTTAACAGTGAGTGCACAGGGGGAACTGTACGGTTTGTATTTGTTCTCAGACCTGTAACCAGTACACTGTTTAATATTTCAGTGTCTTTCAGAACTTTTCAAATGTTTATTATCTTTCTAATCAGCACCTTTCTCACTTTTATTTTTGTGTTTCTCAGCTGCTGCTCTGCAGTTTGACCAAAAGCTGACTCTTGAGGACTGCAGCAAAACTGTCAAGAAGTGGCTTCATTACGCGCCAGAACGAGAGGAAAACATCGCAAGGAATCAAAGTGACGCCAACCAGAGTCAAACTGGGGTTACCACAACTTGTACTGTTTCCCTGGTTCATACAGTACAAAGCTTAACCTCATGGTGGTTGTTCATCCATGGACAATAAGACTGTTGTTCTGACAGTCAAAAAGGAGTCAAATATGTTTAAAGATCTGTCCCTCTTTTCTTAAATAAAATGTTATATCAATCTCATGTTGTCATTTTAACCTTTTGTACATAGTTTTGGTAATATGATGTTGTAAGATACTTTTGAATGAGACATAAACATGACACCCATCATTTGCCAATAGAATAGTGTTTAAAACCAGTGAAGAAACTTTTAGTGGTATGTTATGTTGTAGACCTATCAGAGCTAAAAATGTACATAAGTCCCTTGCTTTCATGCATGTAGATCCACGTTCAGATGATGGTTGAATCAACATTGATATGTCAGTTATGGTTGAAACCCTAACGTTGATTGAACATACAAGTCACCGACCACTTTCAATGTTGTTTCAAAGTCTCTGCCTGACATTGATTCAATGTTGATTCACTAATTTCGTGCTATCTGGGAATCTACGTTAGTACCAGCACAGAATGTACTTTCTAATTCAACTGTATATTCCTATTGAAACACTTTTCTAAAAAAGTGAATATCAATAACATTAACACACACAATTACATTTAAAATAAACCTAAAACACAACTATAAAATGAGAGCGAGACATTTTGTCCAACTTCAATCTCTTGCATAAAGGAAAAGTGTTGGAAATCAACATTTTCAGCCACTAAAACGAAAGTTTGAAAAAAAAAAAAAACTCCAAGATAGACAACATTTATGGAAAGTTTTATGAAAATGTCACAGACCTGAGTTGTAAATATCAGCTGAAGCAGCCATTTCGTTAGATTCACTCTGTCAAGGTTTCTGCTTTTTGTTTGTTCCACAAAACTTGTTCCTAAACAAAAGAGAGCAGAGGTTGATGATGTTGTGCATGATGACTTATTGATAAAGTCAAACATGGTCAAAGATCGCCATCTGCTGGGGGACTAGAATCACTGCATTTTTACTGTGAACCTAAATTGTCAATGTCGCATTATTTTGTATAGCACATTTAAAACAGCAGTTGACAACAAAAATAAAATACAGAGAAATTAAACAAAAACACCTATAATACAATAAATAAAATAAATATTTTACAATAAAATTGAAACTTAAGAAACAAATAGGTTTTTATCAATTAACAGAATTAACCCACTGGGTCAAATAAAAAAAAGGAAAATTAACATTTACTTAGAATAATTTGCACTATCTAATTAAATGGTGAAGCATTACATAGTGATTTTAAATTTTGAAATTTTTGGTCTTCACATGTCAAATGCTTTAATATTCGAAAGTTACTTAAGAGGGATTTTGCCTGTTAATGCAGTTTATCCCGTAATATTAAGGATGTTTACTGCACCTGTATTAGTTTATAATTTACAGTGAATGTAACTCAGTTCCCTTTGAACAAACACTCAAACAATTAGAAACTTTAATTTCAGTTTTTAAGAGCTTGATTCCTGATGTCAGATTTGTTTTTTACATACTTATACTATGTTTGATTACATTTATAAGGAGTGATTTTCAATCAGGAAATTAATGCTTAAAAATGAAAACCTGAAAAAAAAAATCTTAAATTAGAAAAACTCACTCTCAATACCAGCAGATTAAATAATTGTAGCTCTAAATCTAATCTCAGNCATTGAATCAACGTTGTTTGGTGGTTGAAATCTGATGTCTGAAATGCCAAAGTCTGATTAATGGTTGATTTTTGGTTGAAGACGACAAATGACGGTGGATCAACCATCAAACAACCATCCACCTCCAGCCAAGTAACCAATGTTGAAACTGTGTCATTGAATCAATGTTTTGTGGTTGAAATCTAATGAATGAAATGCTAATGTCTGATCAACGTCTGATCATTATTGAATCAATGTTGAATCAATGTCAGCTGTTTTGCCACACCCCTTCCCCTCCTCTCCTCTTCATCAGAGCTCTGGGTCAGAGCATTTTATTAGTGAGCGGGAGTTATTACATTTTAAATTAACCACTGTAAAGGATAGTGGGTTAAGATTAATTTCTGTACATTTTCTTACTTGTTCATAAAAGTTCCTACTGACCCTTTGTGGGTGATGTATTGACACAAAAACATGTACAACTTACTACAAGGAGTAAGGAGTGGAGCGGTCCACCCCCACCATTTACATGAGTGGGATGTCCCAAACACACAGCCACTTTGCTGTTGGCTTGTTGGCAAAAGTTGCTAATAGCCTAGTCAACTAACATTAAGATAAATATGAATGAATATTCATTAGTGTGTCCTTATTAATTTAACAGTGAGTGCACAGGGGGAACTGTACGGTTTGTATTTGTTCTCAGACCTGTAACCAGTACAGTGTTTAATCTTTTAATGTCTTTCAGAACTTTTCAAATGTTTATCATCTTTCTAACCAGCACCTTCCTCACTTATTTTTGTGTTTTTCAGCCATTGCTCTGCAGTTTGACCAAACGCTGAGTCTTGAGGACTGCAGCGAAACTGTCAAGAAGTGGCTTCATTACGCGCCAGAACGAGAGGAAAACATTGCAAGGCATCAAAGTGACGCCAACCAGAGTCAAACTGGGGTTACCATAACTTGTACCGTTTCCCTGGTTCATACAGTACAAAGCTTAACCTCATGGTGGTTGTTCATCCATGGACAATAAGACTGTTGTTCTGACAGTCAAAAACGAGTCAAATATGTTTTCTTCTCTTTTCTTAAAATGTTACATCAATCCCATGTTATTTTTAACCTTTTGTACACAGTTTTGGTAATATGTTGTGGCAAGATGCTTTTGAATGACACATAAACATGATGCGCATCATCTGCCAATAAAATGGTGTGTTTAACACCAGTGACAAGACTTTTAGTGGTATGTTATCATGTAGATCTATCAAAGCTAAAAATGTACATAAATCTGTAACTTTCATGCATGTAGATCCACATTCAGATGATGGTTGATTCCTAACAAATTCAATGTAATATCAACACAAATATGCATGTAAATTGACATACAGATTGTTCCATCAACACTGACCACTTTCAATGTTGTTTCACTAATTTTGTGCTATCTGGGAATCTACGTTAGTACCAGCACAGAATGTACTTTCTAAGTCAACTGTATATTCCTATTGAAACACTTTTCTAAAAAAGTAAATATCAATAACATTAACACACACAACTACATTTAAAATAAACCTAAAACACAAACAACTATAAAAGCAGAGGGAGATATTTTGTCCAACTTCTATCTCTTGCATAAAGGAAAAGTCTTGGAAATCAACATTTTCAGCCACTAAAAAGTTTGAAAAAAATACTCCAAGATAGACAACATTTATGGAAAGTTTTATGAAAATGTCAGACCTGAATTGTAAATATCGGCTGAAGCAGCCATTTCGTTAGATTCACTCAAGGTTTCTGCTGTTTGAATGTTCCCACAAAATTTGTTCCTAAACAAAAGTAAAGAGAGCTGAGAGTGATGTGCTTGACTGATAAAATCAAACATGGTCAGAGATCGCCATCTGTTGGACTAGAATCACTGCATTTCTACTGTGACAACCTAAATCGTCAATGTCACATTTTGTAATGTGACAATGTGTGTAATGTCAACAGCAGTTGACAACAAAAATAAAATACAGAGAAATTAAATAAAAACGCCTATATTACAATAAATAAAAGTAAATATTTTACAATAAAACTGAAACTTAAGAAATCGATAAACAAATAGGTTTTTATCAATTAACAGAATAAACCCAATAGGTCAAATAAAAAAAGGAAAATTAATATTTACTCAGAATAATTTGCACTATCTAAATGGTGAAGCATTACATAGTGATTTTAAATTTTGAAATTTTTGGTCTTCACATGTCAAATGCTTTAATATTCGAAAGTTACTTAAAAGGGATTTTGCCTGTTAATGCAGTTTAGCCAGTAATGTTCAGGATGTTTACTGCACCTGTATTAGTTTATAATTTACAGTGAATGTAACTCAGTTCCCTTTGACCAAACACTCAATTAGAAACTTTAATTTCAGTTTTTAAGAGCTTGATTCCTGATGTCAGATTTGTTTTTTACATACTTATACTATGTTTGATTACATTTATAAGGAGTGATTTTCAATCAGGAAATTAATGCTTAAAAATGAAAACCTGAAAAAAAAAATCTTAAATTAGAAAAACTCACTCTCAATACCAGCAGATTAAATAATTGTAGCTCTAAATCTAATCTCAGGAACCCATGGACAAACCTTTATGGGACCCATATTGACTCTCCTCCTTTCCCTCATATGGGGCCCATCTAGGTATGCTGGCAGGGTTCCCACCATTAATCACAATAAATCATAATAAATTTGAGCTCCTACCATCTAGAAAGAGATTCAGTTAGCCCAAAGTAAGAACCAACAGATGGAAAAGCTTTTTTATTACTTATTGTTGTGACAAATGGGATTGCTGTCATTTTAGTCTGTAAGTTTCAATTTGTATTTATTCTGATGTTCTTCCTTGATATACATTAAAGTTTTTTTTCACTATTCCCTTTATTTAACCAGGTAAACCCCATTGAGTTCTAGATCTCAGTTTCAAGAGGAACCTGGCCAGAAGTTCCTCTTGAAACTGAGACTTCTGGGACACACAACAACCTTAAGAACTAAGTTTTACATACGCACAAGTTTAAAACAAATACAAAACAATTTGAAAGCAATGACACTTCCTCCTATGAGCACAATACTCATCTCTGTAGCAGGGCGGCTTTGTGCTGTTAGGAGAGCATAAGCCATTATTTGCATGAGGTTTAGAGACACCTACTTTTGCTTAGGCAATGTTTTCTAACTCATATATTCCTTTCTGTCATACGATTTGGAACAATAATAAACTAATAATAAACTAAT